TGTTGCCCAGGCTGGAGTGCAGTGGCGTGATTTCGGATCATTGCAACCTCTGCCTCCCAGGATCAAGCAATTCTCCTGCCTCAGCCTCCCGGGTAGCTGGGATAACAGGCATGTGCCACTGTGCCAGGCCGGATTTTAGTTTCTGATCTTCCACTGTGGACGTTGTCATCTCTGAAGACGTCACTCATACCCTGTCTCATCTAGATCCTGAATGTCACTTGCATTGTCAATAAACGTTTCTGGGCTGGGCACGGGGGATCACACCTGTAATCCTAGCACTTTGAGAGGCTGAGGCAGGCGGATCATGAAGTCAGGAGTTTGAGACCAAACTGGCCAATATGGTGAAACCCCATTTCTACTAAAAATACAAAAATTAGCTAAGAGTAGTGGTGCGCACCAGGAATCCCAGCTACTCAGGAGACTGAGGCAGGAGAATCACTTGATCTTGGGAGGTGGAGGTTGTGGTGAACTGAGATGGCACCTTTGCATTGCAGCCTGGGTAACAGAGCAAGACTCTGTCTCAAAAAGAAAAAAAAGTTTCTAACATTTCTATAAGGAGAAACCTGCATTGATTTTTATTTTATTATATGTATTTTTTTTCTTTTGAGATGGAGTTTCACTCTTGTTGCCCAGGCTGGAGTGCAGTGGCGCAGTCTCGGCTCACCACAACCTCCACCTCCCTGCTTCAAGTGATTCTCCTTCCTCAGCCTCCCAAGTAGCTGGAATTACAGGCATGCACCACAACGCCTGGATACGTTTTGTATTTTTTCTTTTTTAGTAGTGACAGGGTTTCTCCATGTTGGTCAGGCAGGTCTTAAACTCCTGACCTCAGGTGATCTGCCTGCCTCAGCCTCCGAAAATGCTGAAATTACAAGCATGAGCCACTGTGCCCGTCTCCTGTATTGATTTCTTTTGTATTATCCACAAACATCAGAAATTCATACTGAGAGGGTATTGTGACCTCTTCAAAAGGTATAATAAGGCCAGGTGTGGTGGCTCATGCCTGTAATCCCAGCACTTTGCAAGGCTGAGGCAGGTGGATCACGAGATCAGGAGTTCGAGATCAGCCTGATCAACATGATGAAACTACGTCTCTATTAAAAATACAAAAATTAGCCAGGTGTGGTGGCGCCTGCCTGTAATTCCAGCTACTCATGAGGCTGAGGCAAGAAAATTGCTTGAATCTGGGAGGCGGAGGTTGCCGTGAGCTGAGATTGTGCCACTGCACTCTGGCCTGGGCAACAGAGCGAGACTCCATCTCAGGAAAAAAAAAAGAAGTATAATAAAACACAACTCAGAAGACATCATGTGGTGAAACATCCCTTACTTGGATGTCAGAACTTTCTCTACAATTAAATCCATGCTTTCCCCTCTCTCCTCTTCTCATTTTCTGTAAAGATAAGAACTCCTCCCATAACCATTTCCTTAAAATGTGTTTTCATTTCAGGGTCTACTGACATTCAGGGATGTGGCCATAGAATTCTCCCAGGAGGAGTGGAAATGCCTGGACCCTGCTCAGAGGACTCTATACAGGGACGTGATGTTGGAGAATTATAGGAACCTGGTCTCCCTGGGTGAGGATAACTTCCCTGCTGGGGATGTGCCCTTGTGTATCTTTGTATTTTCTCTTTGTTTTAGATACAGCGTCTTGCTCTGTTCCCCAGGGTGGAGTGTAATGGTGTGATCAGGGCTCGCTGCAATCTTGAATTCCTGGGCTCAAGTGATTTTCCCACCCCAGCCTCCCCCAGTAGCTGGTACAAGTGCATGCCACCATGCCGGGCTACTTTTTTCGTATTTTTTTGTTTTGTAGTTGTTGTTTTTGTTTTTGTTTACAGACATGGTCTTGCTGTGTTGTTGAAGTTGGTCTTGATATCCTGGGCTCAACACATCCTCCTCGGCCTCCTGAGTCGCTGGGGTTACAGGCGCCAACCCCCATAACTAATTATTAGTTTTTATTTTTTAAATTTTAGCTTATGTGTGTCCTTAGGGCTAATATGAGTCTTCTGTGGACAACATGTAGTTGGTTCCTGTTGATTGAGCCAGTCTTTGCCTTCTGAGTGCAGAGTTAAATCTTTACATTTGAAGTATTACTGATGGAGAAGACCTTACCGTTGTGTTTTTGTTACATATTATCTGTATTTCTTGTAGGTTTGTTTGTTTTCTTCATTTGTCATTTATTACTTTTTTGTGTTTAATTGCTTTTTTACGTAGACATGTTTGACTCCCTTCTTATTGAACTTTGTTTGTTTATGATGGAGTCTCACTCTGTCGCCAAAGCGTCACTGCTGTGTGCGAGGTTGGCTCACTGCAGCTGGCTTCACTTCTCGGGCTCAAAAAATTCTTGTGCCCCAGTGGCTCAAGAGTGCCACTGTAATCCCAGCACTCTGGGAGGCCGAGATGGGCAAATCACCTGAGGTCAGGAGTTCAAAACCAGTCTGGCTAGCATGGCGAAATTCCATCTCTACTAAAAATACAAAAATTACTCAGACACGATGGTGGGTGCCTGTAATCTCAGTTACTCAGGAGGCTGATGCAGGAGAGTCACTTGAACCCAGGAGGCAGAGGTTGCAGTGACCCAAGATCATGCTACTGCACTTCTGCCTGAGCGACAGAGTGAGACTCTGTCTCAAAAAAAAATTTTCATAACCTGTGAAAACTACTCTTTCTCCTCTATAACTCTTTGTTATTTATGTTAGAATTATTTTGTGTATGTTGCATTTTCAGTATCACATAGGTACAGTGTTTTCTCATGCTGTTTTCTTCTAAATAATAGAAAGTTGAATTATGAAGAGAAGGTACACTTATACAAGTTTCTGTATCTGTCCTTTTATTTGGTTATTTACTTATTTATTTATTTATGAGACGAAGTTTTGTTCTGTTGCCCAGGCTGGAGTGCAATGGCACAATCTTGGGTCACTGCAACCTCTGACTTCCGGGTTTAAGTGATTCTCCTGCCTCAGTTTTCTGAGTAGCTGGGATTACAGGCATGTGCCACCACGCCCGGCTAATTTTGTATTTTTAGTAGAGACAAGGTTTCTCCTTGTTGGTCAGACTGGTCTCGAACTTCCGCCCTCAGGTGGTGATCCACCTGCCTTGGCCTCCTAAAGTGCTGGGATTACAGATGTGAACCCCTGCATCCAGCCTATCTGTCTTTTTATTTACCTTTACTGGAGAACTTTATGTATATTTGTGGGTGGGAGTTACTCTTTAGACTTCTTTCATTTCTTTCTTTTTTCTTTTCTTTTTTTTTTTTTTTTTTTTTTTGAGACTGAGTCTCTGTCTGTTGCCCAGGCTGGAGTGCAGTCGCTCGATCTTGGCTAACTCCACCCTCTGCCTCCCAGGTTCAAGTGATTCTGCTGCCTCAGTCTCCCAAGCAGCTGGGACTACGGGCACGTGCCACCACATCTGGCGAATTTTTTTTTTTTTTTCTGTAGAGATGGGGTTTCACCGTGTTAGCCAGGAAGGTGCCGAAAGGATGCTGCTGATCTCCTGACCTCGTGATCCTCCTGCCTCAGCCTCCCAAAGTGCTGGGATTACAGGCATGAGCCACCGTGCCTAGCCAGCCTCAAAGTTTTTAAAACATGTTATTGTTTTCAGATTGGCTTCATGTATTGCAAGATTTATAGTACAGACGCTAAAATTCCTTTGTTTAATCAGATTTGCCAGTCTTCGGTGATGTTGATGATGAGATGCTCCTTTTCTTGTCTCAGTCATTTCAGTGTCCTCTCAGAAATAGCTTAGACTGGCCAGCTGAGGTGGCTCACGCCTCTACTCCCAGCAGTTTGTGAGGCCTAGGTGAGTGGATCGCTTGAAGTCAGGAGTTTGAGACCAGTCTGACCAACATGGTGAAACATCAACTCTACTAAATACAAAGTGGGGTGACTCACGCCTGTAATCCCAGCTCTTTGGGATGCTGAGATGGGTGGGTCACCTGAGTTCAGGAGTTTGAGACCAGCCTGGCCAGCATGGTGAAACCCCATCTCCACTAAAAATACAAACATTTTCTGGGCATGGTGGCAGGCACCTGTTATCCCAAGTACTTGGGAGGCTGAGGCAGGAGAATCACTTGAACCCGGGAGGTGGAGGTTGCAGCGAGCTGACATTGTGCCACTGCACGCCAGCCCGGGTGACACAGTGAGTCTCCGGGCTGAGGTGGGAGAATCTCTTCAGGCAGGAGAATCGTGCCACTACACTCCAGCCTGGGTGATAGAGCGTGACTTGGTCTCAAAAGCAAACAAAAAAGGAAATAGCTTAAACTGGGAGGTTTACAGCATAGACATTTATTTCTCATGAGTTTGGAAAGTGGGAAATCCAGGAGCAAGGTGCCAGCCAAATTGGTTCCTGGTGACGGCCTTCTTCGTGGTTTAGTCCAGCCACCTTCCTGCTGTGTCCTGACATAGTGGAAAGAGGAACAGGGAATGAG